TATATATATATATATATATATATATATATTACCTCATGTTAGCAAATTATATGGTAAAAGGCCAGTATGTCACACTAGAGACAAGACAAAAGTAAGTAACTGAGGCTTTAACGAGGTTGACAGACCATTGTTTGTCCATCTACGGAAAGGTTTTTAACCTCGTTTTCAAATCACTTATGGGCGTTGCATGAAGTACTTTTGGTTCGCAGCTGGAGACATCCCGCCACAAATTTCGGACTAGGTTTTGCCCATCGGTGTACGTTTGATCGGGTGGTACACTTGGCATCCCGGATGAGAATATCTCTATCCGAACGATTTGTGAACTGAACCCCAGTCACCGGTTCCTAGTAGATCGTAGACCCGGTTTGTCATCCGGATGTTTTGCAGTCTAAATCTTCGGTCAAATCCTCTTGAGTCTTAATCAAGGAAAATTAGGAAATGTAGTTTACACTGCTGCCAACAATATCCGAGAAATGAGTGGACGTGACGATTCACTCTATTCTAATGATGATCCGCCCATAAGGATAACTCGCTCGATGTTCGAGCAGGAAACAGTTTACGCCCATAAATTGGCGCTGGGTTTGAGGCTGTATCTTCTGCTGACAGGTGGAAACAAGCCCAAAGTTGTGCTGTTTGGGCGTAATGCTTGCGTAGTTAACTACTGGATAAAGCGAAGTGTGTGATGTTGCACCCATTCCAAACACATCAGCAGAAACCGTGCGATAGTCAGTGCGGGTTTGGGATTCGAGGCCATACGCTCTGCTCAGTATGTTTTACGGTAACGGCTCTTACAAAAAACTTTCTCCATCTCCAAAACTGCTGACACTGCTCCTCAACGTGGCATGACAGACCATTAAGGATTCCCCAGTTACGACACCTGGAGAAACAAAGAAGCCACTAGGCAACAGTAGAAGGAGTTCCGATGGCAAGAAGTGACCGTTCATTTTTTCGACGAACTGGACAGTTTGATTGCAAATGTTCTCTTACCAATCGAGGTGACACCATCAGTGCGTTGTTAGGGGGCGTAGCGGTGGGCCATTGGTTGTGCGTTGAGTTATGGTGCATATGTTAGCATACGTGTTGCTAGCCGGGTTTGACCTTCGATCACGATTGGTTGTTCGGGCGGACAGTCTTTATGGTTGGCCTGTTATCCAGTGTCCCGATCGGTCCGCGATCACGGAAGTTTTGAGCTCTCTCCTGCTCTCGTTCTCTTGTCGGCGCTGGAGTGACCTCTCCAGGTCCCACTCTGTGACATTTGTTGATGTGACCCTAAGGTTCCCTGCTTCTTGGTTTGTGAACCCAATACTCGACTCTTTGAGTATTCTCATTGAAGTTTTGGTCCTTTGCGCGTAGTAATGCATATATTCAGTCTAGTTGAAGGCGTCAGTTGATCGAATCCACTCAATCAAGCACTAATCATAGAACGTGAGCAGGGTGCGAGCTGGTAACTCACATGGTCACCGACCTATCAGGATAACAGACTAACCGAAAGAACCGTCCGACTAAGCAACCAATCGTGACCGAAGGTCCGCCCGGCTAGCAGTACATAAATTAAATACCTCTACTCAATGCACAGCCACTGACAGGCAGATTCTTTAGATTCCCCAAATTATCTAATACCGTTACAAACATGAAAATACAAAGTTGTTGAATCACGCGTATATTCGTCTAGTTCGTCCTGCCAGACGTCGTCGCTTCTGTTTGAGTAATACAAAACCATGACTGCTCTGCTTTCTTGCTAAAATGCTTCGCTGCAGAGAGCCATATTCAGGTCTTTCCAAATGTGCGCCTATAAAGAATATGACTGAGCCTACTCCTTCTTCGACTGTGACTTAGACTTACTGAATGTGTCCAGCACCCTACCATAGTCATCAGTGTGTTCGATGACGCAAGAAATTCCATTGATGTCTTCTGCATAGTAGAGCATTCCTTTTGTGACTCTCATTTTCTCCCTGGCCTTGTCGTCTAGCAATGGACCCAACGGAGACTCCATCGCCACTCCGTCTTTTTGCCTGTATATTTCGATTACAGAATATAAATAGTTATCTCAGTAGAGACACCCTCACTTGTTTGATGATGATCCATATGGTGGTACGACTGGTCGCACTTGAGCAATGATGACGTGTCCACAGACATTATCCTCGCGCTGTTTACTCCGGACGAGCCTGTTTGCTTAGCGAGTTGGGAAGTATTTTTCAAACTTTTGGTCAACTGTTTTCAAGTTGACTCTGTGGGCTCTGCCATTCACTGTGCCGGTGCATGGTAGGCTGAACTGTACATATCCAAGGTTGGCCGTAAAGATATTCCTTCTTTGGAAGCCGTATAGCTTGCGCATGTTTCTTTCTCTTGGGCCTATCTACTCAAGAATCATTCTTACCTGTTTGCTTAAGAACCTACAGTATGGTTTCAGTGAGCTTTGGTAGCCCGTGTAGGTGCAACTCTAAACTTACTCGAATCGTTCTGCGTTGAAATTAAAACCTGGAACAACGCCACTTAGCCGTACATATTTTCAGACTTCTACTCTCTGGAATTCGGAGTTCGGACAACAGAATTTCGGACCAGGTGACAATACATCGTGGAGCTTCTTACCAAGTTGCACGCAGGAAAAGTTCCGCAAACTTACCTTTCCGGTTGAATTGCAAAATTGGAGAGGTTTTGTTGGATTGGTGCTGCGTCGTAGCGTCAAATGCCGTTCAATTGCCTAATGTCGTGACTTGAGCGCATATCATTTGCAAACTGTCTTCTTTACTACTTTTATTGGAATGAAGCATTGTGTTTACGATTTTTAATTGGAAAACAAGCTTGTCATAACCTGTTTGATTTTGGCTGCAACCTAACCAAAACATTGAAAGAGGCAATACATCGAAGTACCAAGCGCTTGAAGTGATTCGGTTCAGTGTTTCCCATGAAAGATGGGCATTGCGCTTCTCGTTTGGATAGCAACAACAAGAAAACTGTTCCACTTTTCCAACTCCCGAGGGGTCCGTAAATTTCCTCTGTCGCATGACTGTGATCTCCTAACTGAGCGCCACGGGTTATAACGACAGGCTCGAGTGCAACCGTTGTTCTTGAACTTTATCTTAAAACAATTCACACTGTATGTCCATAGGTGTATTTGACTGTCTGGCCAGTTAGTCATCCCCGATGTGATGACGGCGTGTATATGACTTTGTTTTTTTTATCCCACATTATTGTTTGGTTTCGATTTTCATCGCGGTTATTCATTGAACTTAGGAATTTGTGCTCCGTTAGAGGTAATGGGCGCTAGGTCATCATCCTTGATGAAAACCCAGATAAATGTACATCTCAGAGTTGGGGTGTTGTATTTTTTTTTGGATCTGGTCCTGAAGCCGTTGTCCGTTTCGCTTGGATTTTACTCGAGGCGTTAACCCAAGCAGCTCAGTGAGTAACCGTAATAGGTTAGGGCGGCGACTGGCTCACACGTCAAAAGCAACTGTGTTTCATTGATTGAATACGGTCGGATTTCCACACAAACACTTGCTATCTCTGGTTGAATGTAAAGTAGTGGTCTTCTGAGCTGGTTTTCGCATTTTGCAGTGGAAATAATTAAGGTTATCCAAAACCTGCGTTCACTAAAGATTGTTCCAGTATAGAACAGTTCTGTTTCAGAAATTAGCACCATTGTTTCGGCATCTCACACCGCACTGTTGCGCTTGTTTTGATTCATGATAAGCCCGGTGTATTTTCTTTGAATGTTTCAGATTCACCTGCTGCAGTTTCTACGCAAGATGTCAAGTCATCAGCAAAATATTCCAACCGCGCCAACGCGCTTGCAAGCAGCGCATTGACAAGCCTCCTTACACCCTTATTCGGTGGGATTGCTGACAAAGAACAAGTCAACTTCTCTCCGCCGGCATTTAACTTTCCCGCCACACTCGACGATACAAACATAGAAGTGATAACATCGGGTACTCCTAACGTTCACCGAAATCTCCCGGATGAACCCCTATGTAACCCTGTAGGTAGCTCCCAACCGAACCTGCTTAGCGAAAGGCAACGTTCTTATAGTATTGACTTGGGCGTTCTGAGCGGCTTCACCCGGCTACGCGATACGCAGCCGCATGATAGCCAACAAATCAATGTGGCCGTCGTCGTCGACACCAGGAACGTCACAACTCCGCTGTCGTCCGAGCGAGGCGTCACAGTGGAAAAGGGATCACAGACCGAGCCGATACGGAGACCTCGAATGCGTACTTGGACTGAAAGTTCCGACACTAGGATTCACAAGCTCTCACGCGATAACATATTGCCTGTCATGTGGGAACAAAGTAGTCGGAATAGTATTGTTGTACAGCAACTGAGCTCAGGACGTGTATGTGTGAAACAACCATTGTCCGATGTTGACCGTTACTCCATGGTTGAAGGACATATCAGTTAATCTGTGTGATAAAATGTTTTTTCTCTCTCCTGAGTTCAGTCGAAAGAGTACAGTTGCTGTATATCATGATTCTGTCTACTGCTCGAGTATGTCTTTTTCCTATGGGGGGGGCAACAAGATAACCTTACTTGCAACTTTCCGTATACAGTAGTCCTTCAAGTGGATAGAGCGTGAATTTACTAACCGGAAGGTCCGTGGTTTGAGCCCGACCTCTGTCTAGGCTTGGGCAACCTGGCAGTATCTCAGCCCTCGTGCCTCCTTCGGGTTGCGTGGCAGCTAGGCACCGAAAGGGTGTTGCAGCTAAACGATTTATTTTTACTTTTAGTCCTTCGAAAGAACGATTCCGTTCAACTTTTGTTTGTGAGTTTTCTAGAATTCAGCTTCACATCACTCTCATTTGAACGGCTCCCTTCCTATCCAGGTCACCGTGGTGGAATTACTCAATGGTAGGCTACATACTTTCATTCACCGTGAATGTCAGTTAATGTGAGTTTCTTGAGCCAGACGAAAGTTGGTTCATTCTTGATGTTCTAAACCCACAATAATCTGATAAATCGCGTCGGAATTGAAGCACTATGGTCAAGCATATTCCTTTAATTTGGAAATCTCTTTCGTTGATCAAGCTAGTAAAAATGAGGACTAATGACCGGTACGGAAGTGAGACAGGTGTACTCATAGTCTCACGATTAGTTGATCGAACATTTACTATAAGTATTAATGCACATAGAAGAATGCACTGAGGATGTTTATCATGGATAGGCAATCCACCTTGAGCGTGATCCATTCTTCCTTGAACGTATCCTCGATTTTGTTTGTGTTTCTAACGAATTGCACTACCATGGCTATCCTCATACCTGATCGTTTTGAATGCAACAGATTAAGTCTGGCTCAGGTGCTCCTCCACTGTCCTTTTCGATTAGACTACTCTTATGCTCCGTTCTGTTTCCTGTTTTTTGCTAACGGGCGCTGAATTTCCGCCATCGTTTGCATAAATGTGACTCAGGGAGAAATGCCGCGATCTCTCATTAGTTTGCTTTTCCATATGTTTGGTTAGCTTAACGAAAGCCACGTTTCCTTGACCGGCAGTTCCAAATTTCTTCGTGACAGTAAATCATAAATAAATCGATTGACTTACACTATAAACAATTGAAAGTGAGCGTTGTTCATAACGTGTTGAAAATGGAATGAGTAGAAGCCAGGCTAATGACAAATTCATGTTGATCATTCTGCCATTCATAGAATCCTCTTCACCCGCGTTGGTTCACTGTACCAGATAGCTCGGTGATATTCCATGAATAACTAGCTTACCATCGAATACGCATTTAGTCCTAAGCTGTCAAAAATGGATTAAGGTTTATTTCTACTTGTAAGGAGAACTTAATTTGAGGAAAGTCATCTGGGTTACCTTCACAGCTGGTAGCCATCTGGTGAACAGTTCCCATGCACCATATTTCGGTAGAAAAGCCAGAAGACAAATCTCGGGAGCGAACCCTGTGTCTCGAAGGCTGCATTGTTCTTTGTCTATAATGCTGCACAAGACAATCTGATAGATTTAGGGAACAAACAATCCCATTCCTAACTACAGTACAGATACAGTCAGTAAACATGTTGTAATACCGTTCTTCCTACTTGCTGTTCACACGAATGGATGTTCCGTGAGGACGTCGTTGCATGAATCGACGGGCGAGCCTTCCGTCTTGTTGGAATTCACTGTTTAACCAACTCTTAGATGGAATGCGCAAAGACACTTCATTATGACTTCAACTGTTTCCATTTCCTTTCCCATATCAGACTGTGAGGATAGTTCAGATCGCATTGACGTATCCTGATTTTATATGCATCTCACACGAAGTGGCTTCCACATGTTCGTTTTTCGCATTAGAGTATACTTATTGAATGTGGTCCTCATTCAGATGTAAACTGATGATCCTTCTTCGCACGTGTTGTGTCTGTCATATTCGGATAATTATTGCTCTCAACATTACAGGGCCTTATGGGTTGCGGTAACCCTACCATTAATTAGTTAAGATATTGTGCAGTAGAATTTTCGATCAGTGAAATCCCCAGTATCCCTCTGCACATTCGCGATAGCTAAGATTCGCGTTCCGTCTTTCAGTAGTGTCCAATGAGTTCTTATACTGATCATCCCGAAAGCATAACTACTCGCTAGCCACAATCTAGAGTACTGAGTGGTGATCATCACTGGTTTGACCTTCGAGCGTCGTCCTTTCCAAATGAATTTAGGGGCTTTAACAACGTCCTATACCCTATTGGATACTTGAATGTTCCACGTCGAATAACGTTGGAAAAATGGGTAACCACATTAGGTGTTCGCACAATATATGCACTCGGACGTTATACGGTCTTGCCTGGGTTGAACCCGTACATGATCTGTGGACTCTCTAAAGACATTTTTCAGCCTCATGCCAAAAAGGGGTACTCTTGAATCGCGGACATGATAGGTTATCCTGCTCAGGTTACTGCACGCTTTTTCTGATGTCATCACAATGAGCTACCTTAGAGAAAAGGCCATCCAAGCATAATCGTATATTAAGATCAGCTGTAAAAACCGCACACTTACTGTAAAGTGGTTATGGCTGCCGTATGTCATCATCATCATCAACGACAGCATGACATCAGTGTTCAACACCAATGCTTCACTGCCGTACAACCATGACTTATTTGAAAGCCTTATTGTAAAGAAAAGAATAAAGGTGGATGGGGGAGGGACTTAGTGCTAAGTTAACACAAACATTCCGAGGTGCCTACACCTGCAGACATTCACTCAGGCAATCTGGATAGAAACTGACATCGGTTGGCAGTCATATCTTGTAGTGTCTCCAACCAGGCACAGTGAGGATCACGCGGT